GGCCCTTAAAGTTTTTTTAAAAAGCCTCACTGACAGTTAATAAGAAAGACATTGAAATAACATTTAAGTGTAGTGTGGTGGGGAGCAGGGGCTCAGAGAGACAGGGGAGATGCCCTAGGAGAGTCTACTGCTGACCCCAACCTGGACCAAGAGCATGGAGTTGCCAGACAGAGGAGATGAGTAACAGTGAGTCAGGCTGGTGCATCCAAGGGATCTGCCAGAAGATACAAGCAATTTTAATGCTGGTCTGAGAATAATACGGTCACACAGCTAACAGCTTCAACAATGACCAGGTGCTGGGTTCCCAAAGCTGGACTGTCCTTTGAGAGGCTAACTCAACCACCTCCCTTTGCCCCTGCAGCTCTGAACCACCCAGCACGGGGTCTGTGTGCACCTGCTGTCCTCCGGCTCTCTGGAGTATCCCTGCCCTCTTCTGTAACACCCCCCCCATCTGCCTCTTCACCAGTGCCAGGCTCTGTCCCTACCCTTCCCACTAGATGGGAGCAACCGGAGAAGGCGACCAGGTCTCACACTGTAGCTTGGACCTTAAGTGTCAGCTGAAGGCCCCAGGGAGATCCCGGATCCTTTAAGAGGTTGGGCCTAATGGGGTCTTTAGGATGCTGTGGACTTGTCTCAAAGGGAAAAATAGTGAACAGGGCATGGTAGTGCACCCTGTAACTCTAGTACTTAGGAGCCTGAGGCAGAAAAATCACCACATGCTTGAACCCTAAGCTTGACAGTGGGTTCAAGGCCAGCCTGATCTACACAGTGAGACCCTGTCTCAAAAAAACAGTAAGGATGGGAGTGGGAGGCCTCCCTCCTTTTTCTCTTGCTCCCTGGCCAGGACTCAGGTGATTCTGCTCAGCCATGCACTCCCTGCCCTTGCCATGAGTACTCTCAGCACAGGCCCAAAAGCAATAGGGCCCCTGCACTCCTGGACTGGAACCTTTACACTGTGAGCCAAAACAAGCCTTGTCCCTTTATAAGTGGCCGGTCTCGGGTATGAATTACAGTAACAGAAAGATGACTAACACACCTTGTTAATCATGTCACCCCTGGGGTCCAGCACAGTACCTGGTATTCAGTAATAAGTGCTTGCCTCATGAGTTAAGATAACTGGGATAAGTACACGTTACTAAGCAAGGCTGTAAAACAAGCAAACTAAGAAAGAACTCGCTCAAGATTTCAAATCAAATCATCCAAAACCTTTCAGCTGCCTCAGACATTTACATCCTATTTTAGGAGGAGCAAGTGAAACCATGGGTCAGTGAAGGGGTCCAAAGTGTTTGTCTGAGATGGCAGCAGGGAGCTAATCAAGCCTAAGAAAGAAATTACTACCATATCAAATTCACAGTGGCCCTGCTTATATCTCAAAGCCCCTTGCTGTCTGTCTATCTGTGGGTCAAAGAAGAAAAATCAGATTGAAACAAATCACTCAGGCTAGCATTTAGCAGGACTCTGTGTCCAAGACCAGGTTAGGGCTACACACACTGGTTCCCCACTTGAAGTCAAATCAAAAGAAACCAAAACGAGAAACAGAATGTCAAATCTCCTCTCAAATCACAGCCTGATTTCTCCTGAGTTCTACCAGGCTCTCTCTGAAGCTCTGAGAGCACTGGTTTTAGTCTCACACCAGGTGACACAATGCTTCCTGAGTGTCAACCTCCTGCCACTTTCAAAAAGCCTCCCTGACTCTGTAGCCCATATTAATTTTTCTCTTTTCTATAATCTTGTGGAATTTCTTGTCTGTATAATTAATTTTGGCATTACATCACAATGTCTTACATTATTATCTTTTTCTTAAGAGTTTATCTTATCTTTCTCAGAGAGCTTGCAGGATTCCTAAAGATCACATTTGAATCTCCCACATGACAGGCTGAGCGACCTGTAGGGGCTTGATAAACACTGAGGAACTAAACGGCACTGTTCTAGCAGGTCTCCTTGTGCTCTTCACTGACACTGGCATCTCCTAACAGCTCAAGGTCAACCACAGCCATCAAAAAACACAGACATCAGCAGAGTCCCAGCAGCACATCTACCACCCCAAGGCTGGCAGTGGGTCCAGACCCTGCGATCTGCAATACTGGCCCCCAGGAAGTCTCAGAGAGGCCACCCTCCCCTGACACAGGAGCTCCTGGGCCTGGGCCCAGGGAATCCCATTTTCTAGGCTTGGCTCAGAGCTGGAATGTCTCTAAAAGGCCAAGAAACAGGAAGGAAAGGGCTGCTGGGGACCTCAATGTAAAATGGGCAGGAACACACAAGAAAAGAGCCATAAATCCCTTCTGGATGCAGACAATGCTGGGGTGATAAGCATGCAGATTACACACCTAGTTCAGAAACTCCCCTGAGTTTGCTTGTAATTAAGGGGGTTAGAAAGGTAAAAAAAATATATAAACCCAATTAATCATTTAAATATTTAAAGTCAGATTTTTTCCTCACTCCAGGATTAGTATATTTCATAACGCCAGCAGTCGACAGCCCTGGTTTTTACTGGGGTTCATTTCAGAGCATGTTTAAACTAGTCAGATTGAGTGATGCTTCCAGCAACTAATCGCATGTCAAATAAAAGATATTTTATGTAATAAATTACTGCTACAAGTAATTCAAATGTCATTTATCAGTTTTATTATCAGTCAGGCAAAGTCTTGTTTCTCTATATTAATCAAAATCAAGTTTTTTTTTTTTTTTTTTTTTTTTGGAGCAGTTTTGACACCTCTTGGCAAAAGTACAGAAGTGAAGAGGCAGAGTTGCCCCTGAAGCTGAAAGGTGCAAAGTAACGGTGCTCAAAAAATGAAGCTCCGAGGTGGCAACTGAAAACTTCAGGTATTTAAATGTGCCATTCTCAGTGTTTTTATACTAATGTCAAGCGGGAAGAAGTCTGTCTCTAAGAATATGTATGTTATTTTTAGGGCTAGGAGACTCAGAAACCGTCCTACATAAATACCTCTGGTGTAGGATTCTCCTCAGTGTGATCTGCATGGTCTACATGACTGAACTTCCTGCTACCCACTCCATTCTTTTGCCTTTCTCAGGACGACTAACAGCTTAACCCTTTGTGCCTTGGCAAACAGGCAAGCGCATGTCATTTTAGGCCACCTCTGGCCAACCAGAACAATTTGTTCTGAGCAAGAAGTTTCCAAGTAGCCGAGAGACCTGTTTGGTATTAAGCCATGGGAGGAAACAGCTGGAACAGAACAGATGTGCATCTTAGAAAATTCTGCATCCCAGCTGCCACTGCCTATCCTCAACAAATCCCATTAAACGGCTGGGCCTAAGGACACAACTCAGGAAAGAGGGTGGAGACTGAGCCTTTGCTTAAAAAGAAACACATAAAGTAAGTTTAGGGCCAAAAGCAAAGGCAAAGGGCTGAAATACTGCTGGCCAGGAAGGAGCACCAAGTCCCATGCTGACAAGTGGCATGAGTGACTCAGGAGCCCCAACGCAGGCCTGACATGGAAGCCCTGTTCCAGCATCCAAAGAGGGCTTCTCAGGCAAGACACCTGGGTGCAAGCACCCTGGCCTCAGCCACTTGGCTCTATCTGGTAAGCAGAAGACGTGGACATATTTGTGAAAAGCAAAGAAGATGCCAACCTAGCACCCAGCCTAGGAGCCCAGCCCTGTGAGAGGAAAGATTTTGTGAGCTGCTTGACCCCCGAGAGCCACCTACCCAGCTGGATCCGGGCCAGGTGAAAATCACCAAGAAGCACAAGAAAGATGGTGGCTTCAGACCGTGTGCTCAGGGACCAAGATGAATCTCTCATTTTAAAATACGCCTCTCTAAACCTGGTATCTAATGAGCTGGGCTTGGTGGCACACACCTGTAATCCTTGCACTTGGGAGGCTGAGGCAGGAGGATTGCTAGTGAATTCGAGACCAGCCTGGGCTACACAGTGAGTTCCAGATCAGTCTCAACTACATAGTGAGACTCTGTCTCAAAAAAACAAAACAAAACAAAACAAAACAAAAAAACAAACCTGGTATCTAATACTGTTTTATATCATATTTTAAAAAATAAAACTTCTGAAACAGACAATTCAAATGAAGACAATAACAAAAAAAAAAAAAAGCTTTTTTTTTTTTTGGTTTTTTGAGACAAGGTCTCACTACGTAGTTGAGGCTGACCTGGAACTCACTATGTAGCCCAGGCTGGTCTCGAATTCACAACGATCTTCCTTCCTCAGCCTCCCAAGTGTTGAGATTACAGGCATGCACCACCACGCCCAGGTAGAAAAAAGCATTTTGAAGGATAAGAGAGCTAATGCTGAGTTAAAATACAGCAACAAAATTGACCTAGTTTCCATAGCTCCGGAGTCAATTTTAACCTTTGTTGACTTTTTCTAAGTGGCTTCAAGAAGAGGTTCTGGCTGTATTTTAAAGGTATACATGTATTAGCATGCTCATTACGACAGTAGTTTTCATTTAAAAAACAACAAAAACCCTCTTGGGTCATGATCTTGTGTAATAATTAAAAGCCACCTTCAAAAAGGACCTTCACATTGAATGTGAAGTTTCCTAACAGGCTGCCACCTTGTGACTACACCGGCACAGCCAGGTGGAGGAGAGCAGAGGGAAGGCTGGCCTAGGCCCTGGAGTATTAATGTCAAAAACAAAACTCAAGAGATGGGTGACTTCTGTAAGCAAAGGAGGATGGACCCAGGAGTCAGAAACATTCATGCTGCTATCGGGAAATGGTCATTCAAAGCACTGGTGTGAGAAGATGGAAACAGGACCAATCCTAGCTTTACAGTTTCTTACACATAACCAAAATATTTGAAACAATACAACTGCCACATTTATCCTGGTCCCTTGTCTGTCCTTTGTCATACACTTAAAATTTTGTGTAGAAGAGGATCTGGGTGTGTCTTTAGGGAAAGCCCAAGAGCTTTCTGCTCAGAATGGGAGAAACCCAGATTTACAGGGCCTGGGAGACATGAACGCCTCATGGCTGGAGTTCTGAACCCCATCTCCGGGCAGTGCAGGGGCTGCAGTGGGTCACTTACTGTATGGCTGTGAAATGAGGTGGGGGGACTGCACGGGAACCACCTGCATGGCCGGGCCCAAGGATGTGGGCTCCTCGGCAGCAGTGCCCGACTGCTGGAAAGCCAGGTCGATCTCCTCATCGGTCAGCCCTGGGGAGAAGAGCACAGAATGGGAGGTGAGTACCTCAGGCCCATGGCCACAGCTGCGGCAGAATTCACTGTGAGAAAAGGCCTGTACGGCCTCAGAGTGCCTGGCATCCTAGTAAGCTGCCTCCCAATTTGGGATTCTCTGGAACCTCTCTCAGTTGCAATTTAACCTTAAGCGACAGAATATTAGCCTCAACACGGCTTCCAAATGTGGCTCATTCAATTTCCTTAATTTATCCTTGAGTTTATTGCTGCTTTTGAAGTCGCTCTGTACTGCAATTCTCCATTCTTCCCCCGAAAACAGATAACATCAACTGCAAATGTGGCTCATTTTAATCTGTAATGGTGCTAAAAAAAACAGGGGAAAAAACTAACAATAATGCATGAAAACAGACAGGGAAACAAAAAACTAATTATTGGGTGAGACGACTAATTAGTCTAGATCGTTTCAGAAGACGGGAATAATTTGCTTTATTTTATGACAAATGCAGAAATAAAAAGAAAAATCAGGACTGACTGTGATTAGTATGAATGGGATATAGAATGTAAAGAAGAAAATAAAACAAGAAAACAGATCAAAACAAGGCCAGGCCCAAACTTTCAGATGATTATTGCTCTAGCCTATGATAGGCTGCCTGGATCGCCTTTGGCTAGTTTTTCTTTCCCCTTTTTTTTATTTCTCCCAACACACTAACCCAAACTGCACATGGGACATCCGGAACAGCACGGCGCCATCTGCAGTGGCTATAACATGCAGAGAGGATCTGCCCACGGAGGAATGAAAAACAAGTGAGAAACCATGAAGACCCCGTTTCCAGTGGGGGCCCAGCTGGGATGGTTTCAAATAGACTGGGGACACTGGCTCTTGGGTAGAGGAAGAGGGCACCTGCCAACCTACAGACCAGAGCAAAGGGTGGCGCCCAGGTATGGGAAGAGCTTGCCCACGGGGCCTGCTCAGGAAGTGACGGTGCATACAAAAACGCTGTACTGCGGTGAGTGGGAAAAGTAGGTGGGAGGTCACTGCTGGTCCACAGGAGACACTCGGGCAAGTCCACACTGTTCTGGGAATCCCAATTTCCAGTTGAGCCGCAACACAGAGCTTTTAAACTACAGCCGAGAGCTTTTCCACATCTGGTCGGCGGCTCTCCATTAGAGGCCCACAGCATGGTATACTTGCCCCTGGGGGTGGATGAAGTATGAGGCGGTTGTGAGGATCAGCATCTTCAAAGTGTGGTGCCTCGCGCTCTGTGCCTAGGGGCCAATAGACGGTGCACATTAATGCTTTAGAGCAAGGCTCAGCCCTGCACCATATTGGTGTGAGCGACTGCAGCCATCCTCAGTTCTCATGCCCTACCTTCACTGGCCAAGAGAGTGCCCAGACCACTCGAACAGCCCTGGGCCCTTCTTCCTCTTCTCTGCACTAAGAAGACGAGGCCTGTCACCATTTAACTCCAGCTCTTCCCCTCCTCGCATACTCCATGGAGCTAGGAGGAGCAGGCAAGGCCATGCCATTTCAGGCCTGAGGTGCTGCTGGGGACCCCTGACAGCACTGCTCTCCCAGGGGAGATGAAAAGGCTCCGAGAGCATCCATGATAGCACTTACCAGCTTCTAAATGCAAAAACTAGTAGAGTTGCCTAGACCAGGGCTGGACAGGGGACACTCCCCCCCACCCCCGCATCCCCAGCCTGCTGCAGAGGGGCTACTTTTCCCATCGTTTCTCCTCACAGGCAGAGCAGGGACAGGACAGAGGACTCACCGTACCTCCCCAGAGCCTGTGCCGCTCAGGCTCTTGCGTGGCTGCAGATCGCTCTTCCTAAATAGGAAGGGGCACCCCTCTCCGAGCGTGAGGAGGGAAGACATTGCTTTAACCGGTTCCTAAGCGGCCACTAGAGAAGAGAGTGGCATCTGCGACATCAGCACAGGCTGCTGGTCACTGGTGCAACACGGAATTCTATAAACCTGGTGGTTCCTGTGCCTTGTCAGCCACTGGCTGCAAATGAGGATAATTTTCCCAAAAGGAGCATTCAGTTGCATTCTCATTTTCCCTTTTGGCTCTTTCAAATATAAACAAGTACTATAATGTTTAACACTGGGGAAATATACAGTAAGTTACAGGCTGTGCTGCGGCCCGGAGAGCTGGAGCTGGTTAAAGGAACAGGACTCCCTGCCCGTTTTTCTGCCCTCTGGCCCTGAGCTTTTACATAGCCTATTTTCCTAATAAAACATGTTCCTTGCATTATCACAACCGAGCCCACCAGTGAGCCCGTGGTTTAAAGGGCATTAGCACTTCCTTCCAAGCTCTTGTTTTTCAGACCTTATCATGTGATGCTCTTAAATTTATACTGGCTGGAATTCTGATATCCTTACTTCCCTGGGAGAGTCAGGGTTTTGATTTAGTCATTCTTTAAAAAAAAAAAAAAAAAAAAAAGCATTTTAACAATCTCACTGGATAATATCATTTCAGAGCTGAAGCATTATCCCAGTCACTGCTCTCCTTCAGCACAAAAAAACTCAAAAGTCCAAGGAGGGCAGAGACTCTGCCCCAAATCATGCTTGTTCCGGGGAACAGTAGCCAGTGACTGCCCCAGGCTTTCCACTCTCAGCCTGGTTACTTGATATCACAGCACAGTTACAGACATGAGGTGAAAAATCCAGATCTCACGCTTTTCAGTACTGGGGATCCAGGGCCTCACACATGCTCAACAAACCTACCCAGGAGATATCCTGGCCCCCTCCTGTTTTAAAATTTTGAGACAAGTCTCACTAAATTGCTCAGACTGGTCTCAAACTTGTTCTCTTGCCTCGGTCTCCTGAGTAGCTGGGATAACAGGCGTGTACCACCATATATCCAGCCAGAACCTATTTAAAATCTTTAATTTTGTGAAAGAGGTTTCCAGATGGATTACATTTCCTTCTCTCACTGGTACCCCACAGACCCCTATCTATCAGCAGGGCCAATAAATACTGTTTGGGGTAATACTAATACAACAACAACTTAACCCCTGGGTCCTATCTGCAAAGGACAACTGGACAACTTTCTAAACAGTACCAGAGTGAAGGTGTAGCACCCCTGTCCCCGTCTTGTTCTAAGATCCTAACTCCAAATCAAATCCAGGTGGCACTCATAGGTGGCGCCTCTGATCCTGAGTGTCCTCTTCCTCTGGGGCATCCCTGGCTTAGGAGCCTGGCCAACACCAGTACTTTGACAAGGACTCTGGGTTCAGCAGGGACCTGGAAAAGGAGTGGGGTCCTCGCCTTCCCCACAGCCCAGCTAGCTGTCTTTCCAGGCATCAGCTCTTGGGCAGGATGACCCTGCCTTTTGGAATGAGGTGCTGCCACAGGACTCATACAAAAGACATCCAGGTGCCCTAGTCCCATCTGTGCCACCTACCCCCACTGAGATAAATAGCCCAGATCTTTGATTGAGACCTTGCAGAATCCAAAAGGTTAAAAGGAATAATAAAGGAAACTGCCAATTGTAAGTGAATTATATTTGGCTCTGAAAGCTGAGGCACAGGCTATATTATAAAAGGCATCTCTTTGCGTTGTTTACCATCACCCTGACTAATGCAGACCTTTTTTTTTTTGTTTTAAATAATCTCATGCAAATTAGACACACACACTTCCTTCCAGTTGATTGCTATCTGCAAGGAATAATCTAACCGCAGAGGGACGGAGCAGTGGCTGAGGAGCAGAACAGAGAGATGGGAGCAAAGGGCTCACCGTCCTGTGGCAAGCAAACATCCTCCCTTCCCCATCTGCCAAAAGTCTTTAGCTGCTGCCTTTGAAAAATTAGTCCATTTTAACAAAGCCTAAATTTTTTCTTAGTTGGGTGTCATTTTGCATTACCTGATGCTGCTGGCGTTGAGCATTTAGATGGCCTTCCAGTAACTGCCCTTCTGCCATCAATGATTTTTAAGCACTACCAGCCACCCCAACCCCAGTCTAAAGCAGTGACAATTAAAACATATCCTAGGGCTGGGGATTTAGCTCAGCGGTTCAGTGGCCTGCTTTGCAAGCGCAAGAACCTGAGTTCAATCCCTGGTAC